ACCGGAAAACCCGTCTGAAACCTTTAAAGATCCTGTAACACATTATTTTTATGGTTTTATATACAAATTATGATGCTCAAATTAAGATTTATCGATATTGTAAGTTTCAAAAAACATTATTTATAAAGATATTACCGAATTTAATATTTCATGTAAATAAAGGGAGGTAATTAGAATTTAGTTTTCTATAAATTCTAAGTCAATTTTTCCAATAAGAAATGAATGCATATAATTTAATGATTACCTTAAATATGTACAAATATTTGCAATACATATTTTACATATTCTTCCATGTTTGAAAATTGACAAATTTGCATAATTACATACATATATAATTCAATGAAGAGTGGTATGCAATCTCAATTACAAAACATACAGGATCTTTAATGCCAGACAGCTCATGCGCTCGGATGACATCATTATCTGTATGAAAGAACGGTTATAATCAAAGCACTGAATGTACTGATGGGGAGGCTATGAGAGAATGTTTCAGACTTATAGTTTCTTTTCTTTTTGCTTAAAATATACTACCAAAATAAAAAGATATGCACATTGCGCTATTTATCCTTACTGTTGTGTTCAACCATTCATATATATGGTTAATGAGGTTGACTATTCATTTTGTTAATATTCCAGAACATTTAATTTAGGTCTACATTCGGACTGTTAATCATGCAAATTTTGAAAAACCTAAACTGTCAATAATAAATGACATACCAGAAAGTATGACGACTGTTCATTATCAGATAACAATAACATTTTACAACTGACGGTTCCTTATCAAAATATTCTAGGACTGTTCATCATAAATATTTTATGTCATTTTAATATTATTGAATGATAATAACAACTGCAAGTGATGCAACATTTTTATTGAACATAAAAATTATACACGTTTAGATGTACCATAATTGAGGTCAATAAGATACTGTCTTGTGATGAGTATTAATTAACATTCATGCTCTACGGACAGAAGGTTGTCTTCTTCAGAAGCAAATCTCGAATAAAATCACGTTTCAGAAAATTAATCCCATTTCATTACTGACGGCGTCGGATAATATTAAAGCTAAATATTTCTTGAAAAAATACATCTCTGCAAAGCTTATTCAAAACTGAATCAACCTAAGAGAAAATTGATCAGGAAGTTATATCTTCTTTTTTTACCGCCAACACTCAACACTCAACCAACTTATGGTAGTTAATCGATAGATTCTACGTGTATTTTTAAACCTCACTAGCTTGAAATATATACTGCGGAAAATCTGTTGTTAACAGGGTGTGCGGTTATTACGTAGGGTTTTCCCTGCCGACCATTTCCCGCAAATAGATGAGAACATCGAAGCCGTCAGTGCTATGAATGGTGTTATAAATGGCGTGTTTTGGAAGTGTTTGTTGAAACTTCTCCAAATACCCCCAGAGGCGTGCACGTCGCGGAGAAGGCAAACGGAAGGTCATAGTCAAGTCATCATAAGTACCAGAGGTGATTGGTTGACCTGTCGTGACTTACTCTGGAGGTTTGGCGCTAATAGATGCCGTTTTTGTTGTCGTCAGTCAGAAAGTTGATGCCTTGACGGTATTGTCGTCTCCTTTACCACCAATTAAAGAACGAAGAATGGGCTTCCAGGAAGAATCTGCTTGAAAAAGACGTCCCAGATGCTATAATCTCGGACATATGGTTATTCCGGCGCCGAGTATAAATAAACTTAAAACACACACACTTTTGTTGAAAACAAAACAACAACACATTTTCTGTAGTAATTTTTCAAGTGTTGTAAAATGAATAAGAAATTCCTCTTATGCCGCCCATTATTTTTAGAACACAACCATAAAAGTTCTTTTTTTTTATTTTTCAAATAAACATTTATCACTTCAGCGCGAGCAAATATCGGTTTCAAATTAAAGTTTCGTAAGATATGTTAATGACTTCCCGATGCTCGACTGTAAGTAATTTGTATATGTATGCGGTTTTTTTTTTTGTTTTTGTTTTTTTGTTTTTGTTTTTTAATTAAAGCTTCTTATTCTTTAATATTTTTTATGTATCTCATAATCTGTATTGAAAATTTGAATTTTATTACAAATGGACTATCAAATTATGATGTATGCCCTAGAATTGAATAAACTTTCTAATTACACAATACGGGGTCATACTGATCTTTGCGTCTTTCTCTGAAATAATTATTTCCTTGTTAAAACATATTTGACCACATATTTCTGTCAATTAACTGTTCACTTTACTTCCGATTTTGTTGTACGGAAACACATGTTTCTATTTGTGTTTTCTAATCAATTCGAATCTATAATCAGTTTAATGGGATCACCACCGGGTAAACGACTACTAGGTACTTTGGTCATGTTTTTTACCACAAATATTTGAATGTTTCTATTGGGATTAAAATGAGCATAGTTAACTAAACAACTGTTTGTATAAATTCCTGACCTGTCTAATTCTAATTATGAGATTAGTGAATATATAAGACTTTCACTACAAAATATTCCTAAACAAAAGAGCACATGTTTAAATTTATTCCTATACAAATAAAAGATCAGAGTAGGGATCTTTCAATTACCAAAGATACTTTTATGTTAAAAGTTTGATTAATGAATTATGTAAGATGAAAATATAAGTATTGCTTTTTTTATTTTGCTAATGTAAAATGTAATATTGTGCTGGAATTTTGTCGGAGGTCCTTAGGGGTTTTGTAGTTAAATAGTTTTTTTTTCGGCGATAATGGTTAAAGAATATATAATGTTTTTAAACTATATGTTCATCACCATCAGTGAATTTTTAGTTAAATGTATGCAAAATATTTACTAAACAGCTATATGATTTAGCGGTTTATGAGCGTTTTCCGCGTACAGCCTCCTGGGGTGTACAAATAAGTTAGTTTTCCCTAGTTATCACGCAAGCATGATCCATGTCTCTGATGTAAGCGACAGTTTACAATTATTTGTCTTTAAAAAATATTAAGGACTATTAATAGTTTATAACAACAAAAGAACATGCATGATATTGAGAATACGTAGTTGCAACGTTCTAGTTAATGACCCGTCATAAACAGTTGGTCGCTGCGTAGTAATTGGAAAATTGTTATCAAAAATAATAAAGAATATTTGCCACTGAATTAAAGCATTTACTTATAAATTTTCATTTATGCTTTTTGTTAAAAAAATATGGATAAAGTTATTATTTTGAAGGGTTTTCATACCAGAACTATTTATTACAGACGTACGTATGCCTAAACCTGATTACCGCGGCAGTATGACGTCACGGAGTAGTGATTTAAACAAAAATCAAGAATTTTTCAGAGAATTATTATCTTTACAAATTGCAGATATGAAATTAAAGAATGAAAATATTTTCATATTGTAAATGTCTGTGATGAGTGATGAGTCAGCTTAGAAAACATCAAGGTACTATTTTTTGACCTGATTACCGCGGCAGTATGACGTCACGGAGTAGTGATTTAAACAAAAATCAAGAATTTTTCAGAGAATTATTATCTTTACAAATTGCAGATATGAAATTAAAGAATGAAAATATTTTCATATTGTAAATGTCTGTGATGAGTGATGAGTCAGCTTAGAAAACATCAAGGTACTATTTTTTGACCTGATTACCGCGGCAGTAAGATTTGACAGACAGTTATTAACATTGGGTCGGCATAGCCTCCCCAAAAATTGCTACGCTACTATGAAAATAGTATTTACGAAGCATATGTAAGTGTTCATTCGTTCTACAGGTTCTACAGAAATTAGAAACTTCGACGGGAGCGATAGCGACAAATTTATAGTAAAACGCAGTTCTGTGAAGCACTATAAAAAATAGAAGACGACTATGAACGGAATTTGATATAGTATCGACTTTTGTTCTTCTATGAAAATAAACACACATAATTCTGAAGAAATACAGCGTTTCCATTGGATGACAAATAAAGTTGGACACTAATTTTATACAGATATTTGAAACTTGGGATCAAGTATTCTTTTGACAACACTTTGTATAAAATAATGTTCAAACCACCAAAAGTGGGAGAGCTGCTCTATATTCGAGTATGATTTGCAAGGAAACATATCACTCGTGATTAGTTATCGGATTTCAATAGTTATATCCGATACGAAAACACATGACAGATATTATTATGCAAACACTAAATAATATTCAGTTTCTTTATTTAGTTCTACACATCCTCTTATGTCTGCAAATACCTGAGCAATAAACATAACTTTTCTATTCAAAACTAACTGATATTTAGAAAATTCATTAAGCAGAAAAATGCGCCGTACGTTATCATTGATATTTTGTGCGCCATATGTTATCATTTCCAGGAAATACCCCGATATTAATTTTAACAACCGTTATTCTTCACAGAATGGGCAAAGTTTTTAAAGTCAGTGGTTATATATGTAAACGAAACAGTGAATTTGAGAGAAGAAGCCGTACGTTACCACGATCAACCCGGTGGAAAATTCTCTCGCTTCGAATCTGGTGACGCGCATTTCAGATAAAGTACAGGACAAAACATCATGAAATAAAAGCCTGTGTGCCAGGAAAATTGTGGGGAAGGTTGTTGTATGTACTTTTACACTAGAAATCACGAATTGCAGAGAAAAAAAGGAAAAACTTACTTTTCGACTGCATCCGCCATCTTGTTTGTTAGGGTAACGAACGGCGTGATTCTCCCCCGCGTTATTTCTTGTTTCTTATTTCAACGTACATGAATCACGTACTTCCGCTGATATCTGCTAGAAGGACCAAACTCAAATATGGCGGCGTTTTTTCCCTTATGTTTGATTATGTGGTGTTTGGCCTATACCAGATGTGAAAACTGTGTGACCGAGAGCAGATTCGCTGAACTAAAAGAAGAAATGCGTGAGCTGAAAAATAATAATGAGGAATTAAAAGAAAAGTTGCTGACTCTTGAGAAAAAACTTGATGCCGACGTCAAGCAAGAGAAAAACGAATTTAAAGTTGTGGACACGAATCAAGAGAATGAAACGGAAATTCACAAAACTGGCGTATCTAAAGTAGGAGAAACAAGGAACCGGACCATGCGAAACTTGTTTAAATCTATCAACGTGAAAATGAAAGGTAAATGTTTATCTTTATGTTATAAACTAAGTGCCGATATCAGATCTTGGTTATTTATATAAGATTTTTCCTATAATGTTTCCAATAATCTATGCAGAAACACAATTTGACTAAAGTTTAGATCTACTTATTTCATACATGTAGACCTGAATACCACCGCATATGGTTCGCCTTAATTCATTATGATTCGGATTTCCCGAGAAAGCTATTTTCAGCCATGCAATCAAACCGGTATCAAGATTGTTTTGCCAGTTTACCTGCAGGGTATATGGAAAACGCAGTGTTTGGTCTCTCGAAATCGTGAAAATTACCTACTCCGTATTGGTTTTCCAGCGGTTAAAATAAGAAAACGCACCGTTTTCAAAATTGTGAAAACTCACCGATGATTGGCTGTTTGAAAAATCACGAGACAGTTTCAGCATATTGGTGACCGTCAGATCCTAATGTATAGCTGCTTTTAATCAGATTGTGCAGAAACAATATTTCCATTTGAATGAGTCATGACTTTAAATAACACATTATGGTTTACAACTTAGAGAATATTACTGAAAAAATTAACCGTGGCATATTTTTTGCATTTCTACATTAATTACAGGACAAATGGTCACAAACGTTGCCTTTTATGCGTATTTAAGTGGAAACCGATGCTATGGCAATCACGAAATCTTCATTTTTGACACAGTGGTAATTATTGACGTTTAATTATTATCATCGGTTTTCATTTATTTGGTTTGCTTCTGACTTTTTTCTTACGACTATATTAAAAGCCCGTAATCCTTAAGCAAACAATATAATGATGATGGTGATGATGTTGCTACGAATGCTGGTTAACATGATGATGACGTGTCCTTTCAATTTTATATTCCTTCACATGCATGCTTTTTTGATATCATATGGAAGACTGGAAGACTATCAAAATAATTACTCGAGCCGAGTAGAGTCGAGTCGACTCGATTAGAGTAGAGTCGAGAAGCGTAGAGTCGAGTCGAGTCGAGTAGAGTTTGTTTGTTTGATTGGGTTTTACGTCACACCGACGCAGTATAGGTCATTTGGCGACGTTCCAGCTTTACTGGTGCAGGAAGACCTCAGGTGCCCTTCCGTGAATTATTTCAGGCACGAACGGCACCTGTGTAGAACCACCGACGTTCCGTAAGCTTGCTGGATAGCTTCCTCACATGAAAGAATCCAAAGTCCCTGTAGGGATTCGAACCCACAGTGGTGAGGGGCAAGTGGTTTGAAGTCAACGACCTTAACCTCTCGGCCACGGACGCCCCTGTAGAGTAGAGTAGAGTAGAGTAGAGTAGAGTAGAGTAGAGTAGAGTAGAGTAGAGTAGAGTAGAGTAAAGTACAGTAGAGTAGCGTAGCGTAGAGTAGCGTAGAGTAGAGCCAGGTAGGGGTGTACTTTGTTACTTGGAAATTCTGTATACTTACTGTGCCAAAATATTGGCAAATTCGGTATCAAAATTTGCAGAAATGCACTGACCACGCAATAATGCACTTTGTATTAAAATTTGATGATTATAAACAGATTTACCAATCTTTTAGGAGACTAACGTTGGCAACGGTTACAACTCCCACGACGGCATATTTGATGCTCCTGTCACTGGTGTATACGTGTTCACATATACTATGACCCCGACCTACTACACTTTTATCTATACAGAGCTTATCGTTGATGGTGTGATAAAGAACGTCATTATTGCAGATTCTCAAGAAATCCACAATATTCATCCAGCAACGGCCACTGCTGTTGTCCACGTAACTGCCGGACGTGCTGTGTATGTCCGAAAAGTGACGAGCAGCAAGTGCAACATCCTAAGGAACAACAACTCTAAAACAACGTTTGCTGGATGGTTGTTGTTTTAATTCTCTTTTGAGTGTAAAAGATAATAAATTGTATTGATAAAAGCAAACAATACGTGTCCTAAGTGACATTCTAATTGATCAATGACGTATATATGCTGTTGGTATATATATATAGTTACACAATATCCAAATGCGACGTTTCAATACCATTTCTTTTTGTATAACTTAACCTAAATCGAACTCATGACCTCTTGAATATTAAACGATGGATTTACAACACATGTATGGCCGTGACCAAATAGCTTGAGAAAGACATACAATCCACCAAAGGTGCCTTAAACCTCCAAAATATATCTCGACAGCCTTAAAAACTCGGAATATAAAATTATAATCATTGAATTTATCCCAGTTAAATGCTAGCTCGTCAGAATCAGCAGCAAGAAACATTAGTATTATTCCTTTACGAAGGAAAAACTTTCAATACTTTCAATAAGTAAAGATCTATTTTTATAATTAATATTATAATTAAAATCAACATCGCACTCAAATTCATAAAAAAAGAGCACTATATGCGGTGTTAACACTCGTCTGCTAACCCATTACTTCATGACCATTTTGTGAAAAATGGCTGTTTTCATTGAAAAGCCTCCCGTTACAAGTTCAAATTGCTATAAAACTATAAAAACTGCTTCAATACTAATCAAGCTTGGCACAAATGTTGACTGCATCGTTGCCTTTGTAACAACATGCTCAATCTTAAATTTCCTGTTACCATGGCAACGAGGGGACATCTCAAAATTGCCAAAAAATACTATTTTGCGTTGTATTATTCTATCAAAATTGATTTCAAAGTGCTGCAACTTCTCAATGGATTCAGATAGAGTCAAAGGCTTTTCAGCGTTGGTTACACGTTACCTTAATATCGACCTTGGGTCATTTTCAGCCTCTCACACGTCAAACATTTTCTTGGCGATGAGGAGGACTACCACACCCCTTCAAACCCCCCCCCCCCCAAACAGAAGGGGGGAACATCCCCATTCTGGCAACCCCTTCATGTAACTTTTGGATAGGGGCGGCGCCGAAAAAAGTGCTCACTATTTTATCAACATTTTTCAAAAGAAAACGTGTTTGGGGTCCAAACAGGACATTTTTTCACTATTTGAGGCCTAAAAGTGTGTGTGGGGGGGGGGGGGAGGTCGAAAGTGCGTAGTTTCGCATATATATGAGGTAAAGGGTTTTGACAAATCACTTTAGACAAGAATTCTAATCTAAAAAGGGTCAATTAGCCTAAAAATATAGCTTCAAGAATCATGCCACTTGTCTAACAACTGCACAATGTCAGGATAAGCAAGTACATTGTATTCGTGTTCGTAACTTTAAATGTTTGAAAAATGGGCTATATTAAACAAATTTTTTTCACGACGACAGCGATTCTTCGAAACAAGCTAAAAAACATGTTATTATTATTACTTCCTTCTTATTATTACTTACTTCTTCCATGTGCATTTCAAATTGAAGGAAATTCCGTGTTTGGTTAAAACATATTTATGTAAGCTCGTTTGTGAATCAAGTTCTTGCGACTTGGAACCATTCAGTATTGGTGTCATATGAAGAAACATGGTCGTGCTCGATCATGGCTCGAACACATGATCCCTGGGTTGAGAGGCAGACACCTTAACCACTAGGCCACGGCTCCCATGAAAGTCATTGTATAAAATACAAATTGGTTAAAAAAAACAATAATATTCTGTGTGTTCTTGTTGGTTTTTTTTATTATTTTATTCTAATTGTTTGCTTGTTCCCCTTTTTAGAACAACATAGCAGTATATTATGTAACATATAATTACCCAAATATATACATATATCACCCAAATAAATCTGAACAAGTTATGGCACTTTATTTAATGCATTGCCTAGAAGACAATACAAAATATATAACAAAATATATTCCCCAAAGAATTTATTTTTCTATTAACAACTATACATTCAAATAATGATTCAGAATCATAATCATTTGAGAAGCAAAATAACAATATTGCGCTCCAGAAATGTATTATAATGACCTCTTTATTTCACATCACTATTTTTAATTTGACAGAAGTTCAAGTACATATTCTAGTATTTGTGATAAGATGTTTGCTGCACCCTCTATAAAAGTACATTAAAATTCCAGCATCAAACAAGATTGCATTTGAGAAAAATGCTATGCCGCCGCATTAATACTAAGCTCTAGGCCTTTTGGGTCTTTACAAGAAGTTTTTGAAGCCTTGTACCTTGTACCTTCAGACAATATTTTTTTATTTTTTTAATGTATATATTGAAAATCAAGGACCCCCGGGGCGGGGGCAATTTTGACACCAGGGCTATAATTTGAACAATCTTGCTAGAGGCTCACTACACGATGTTTCATGCAAAATATCTAACCTCTAGCATTTGTCAATTGCTAGAAATTTTTTTTTAAAGTTTTTACTAAATACATATAAGGAAAACCAATGACCCCCGGGGCGGGGCCGATTTTGACACCGGGGCTATAATTTGAACAATCTGGGTAGAGGTCTACCACACAATACCTTATGCAAAATATCTAAGCTCTAGGCCTTTTGGGTCTTTACAAGATGGTATTTTTTATGTACATATAGTGAAAATCAATGACCCCCGGGCGGGGCCGATTTTGACCCTAGGGTTATAATTTGAACAATCTTGGTAAGGGTCTACCAGACAATGGCTTATGCAAAATATCTAAGCTCTAGGACTTTTGGGTCTTTACAAGAAGGTATTTTAAGTTTTTTACTATATGTACATAAAGTGAAAATCAATGACCCCGGGGCGGGGCCGATTTTGACCCCAGGGCTATAATTTGAACAATCTTGGTAGAGGTCTACCAGACAATGCCTTATGCAAAATATCTAAGCTCTAGGCCTTTTGGGTCTTTACAAGAAGATTTTTTAAATTTATTCTTATAATTCCTTTTGGCTGCCATGGCAACCAGATTTCTGCATGGAATGAAATTCTTTGATCAACTTTGGAATCCCTTCAACCAAGGATCAATCCTGCTAAGTTTGGTTGAAATTGGACTAGTGGTTTTTCACAAGAAGATTTTTTAAGTTCACTATATAATCTATATAACACACAAACACATATACACACAGGTGAATCGCTATATGCCACCGCATCGCAGATGCTGCGGTGGCATAAAAAAGAGTAGTCAGTTTGACAGCATGCTCGACTATTCTCAGTGCTTGATAATAAAAAAATGTTGAATTTTCAAAGTTCAAAAAAAGTCCAAAATTCTGTCAAGAAAATCCATGTAAGAATTACTGGACTTGAAAAGTGAGCTGCTATTCGGCTGTTTGGTGCGAAAGGGTTGTAACTCCGTCTTTATGTCATATGGGTTACAACCCTTTTGCACTAAGCCTGCATATTATGTTCTCAAATAAGTGTATAAAGTTTTACCCCATCCCCTTCAGTAGTTTTGGAGATACCAACTTACATGAAAAAAAATAACCAAAGTGTGAGGCATACACCTAAGTAAGTACAATAGCTATCCCTATTCTTTGAAAAATCATGCTCAAAATGGGAAATAAAACAAATCATATCATAGAAACAAGAACTAGTTTTGTCAGAAATGTACATAATGCATTTTATAGAGGAATGTAATATACCTCCATGGTTTTGAGAATATAATACATGTATATAGACCCTTTCATTTAAGCGATAATAGTCAGGGAAGAGTTACTTCCCTTACCGGATGTGACGTAAATGGGGGATAAAACTATGCAGGCAGCATAGAATGTTAGCTTATTGAAAAGTTAAATGCGTAAATACTGATCGTTCAATTATGATTATAACATGTAAATTTACGCAATGCTTACATAAATTCAATATCAATACAATAGAAAAAAATACAAAAACAAAGATTGAGATTAATTCTCGCTACGGAGTGAAACAGCGAAATTTCAAAGTGAATACTGCAGTATATTTATTAGATCTAGATTTTCTCTAATGCCCGGATAAAAAGCTAGTAACTAAATCAAATTTGAATATTTTATAAACACCCATACACACTGAAATTGCCTATTATAAATTAAATGACCATTTTCTAGTTTTCTGTGTTATTTTCTGTCATTTAGAAAATTCCGGCGTTTTTGTGACAAACATGAAAATAAGATTGCCAATGTGTTTTAATGATAGTTTTTCAAGCTTTAATAGAACAATAACAGAATGCATTCTATCAATACTTACTGATTTTTTTTTCATTATGCCGTATAAAAATATTTCTAAGAACCAGTGAAGGATGTAATTCTATAAATATTCCGGAAAGAACGAAAACCATGTGGCATTGACTTTTGTAATTTTAGATTCGCAACAGACGATAATAAGATAATTTGATATTAAAAATCTATTCTTATGGTTATGAAAATTAAGACCTCATAGATAAATAGATGTGTATATATAAGCGCCACTGGGCCGTATCATATTAATTAACAGGGTGCATATGTTGTATATTCAAGCGGCACTTGGCTGTGATATCATAAATCACCAGGGTGCATTTTTTAGAGTTATAACATTACATCAGATTACGTCACTTTTGGTATTAGCAAGATTTATATTGTTGTTTTTCTTTGTCTTAGTAATGCTTAAATCAAAATGATATTTAATAAACCAGTATCTTGCAATTAATTATTACGCAGCCGTTTTTCGAAACTACAGAATCCTTACATTTTTGAAACTCAAAATATCTTTTAGGTATTGTATATTACCAGAGACATAGATAGATTATCTATATCACTGGTATTAGCAAGTTAGTACGATTTAACGGCCTGGTAAAATTCTCATTAATTTATAAAGAATCTAACGAAAATGGTAAATATGATCAGTTACCCAGCAATACGGTCTACTATTAAAACAAATCGTTAACCTTATTATAGTAATCATTTTTATTCATTTCACCATCCTTTTATGTAATATCTTATTAAATTACCCAAAATTTTGGCAATTTCAATCTCCCAATCTTACAAGAGAAAGGATTAAGATCTAATTATATCCCTCTATTATTGTACTTAATCATATCGCCATTGTCCACCGTATCCCCCAATGACGTCATCCAAGGGCGACAACTTGAATACGGTCTTAAATGAAAGGGTCTATAACTGGTATCTTTTCACACTACACATCATATAAGTCCAAACTCCGCACAGTGATTACCTCCCTTTACAGATTTAAACACTGCCTTCGCAGACGTTACATGACGATGAAAGTCACATGACGTAACGTCGAAATTCAAATGTTAATATCGACCGTTACATAGAAAAACTAAGGTCATTTTGCTCTTTCTGTTTTAGTACTGATAAGGGGTGATCACTGCCTAGGTCAAGTTTTTACTGATAAATGTCATATATCTTAAATAAAGTCAATAAACTTGTAACCAAATAAAACAATTAATAAATAAAATAATCTCAAATTGTTCTACAAAACACTTTAATCTAAACTTGTATATCTAATTTCCAAATGCCTTTACAACTGACAATCATACTTAATAAATGTTTTTCTCTTTTGGTTGGGGTTTTATGTCACACGTCACATAACCTTACTGGTGGAGGAAGACCTGAGGTGCCCATCCATGCATATTTTTATGCTTAAGCGGGCAACTGAGTAGAACTACTGATGTTCCTTAATCTAGCTGGATAGCTTCCTCACATAAAAAGATACAATGTCCCTGGTGGGATTCAATACTACAGCCGTCAGGGAGCAATGGTTTGAAGTCAATTACCTTAACCACTCAGCCACGGACACCCCTTTGATAAATGTATTGAATTCACAAACAAATATAAAATATAATATTATTGAGATTCCATTAAAAACAAATAACATTATCAAAACAAGGAAATATTGTCCATTTAGCATTTACATCGCCAAGTTCAAACATTCTAGGTCGCCTAAGTGCTGATGACTAGCAATTCATTACTGCTCAATTAAAAGCCTGTTTGACTTAGTACTTTCTTACACTAAACATTCACAACCAAAAAACCATTCAGGGAAACTTGGTAAGAACAATTTAAATGAATGGAATTGAATGGTGTTGATGGACAGTGTTAATTATTTTGTGCACGTCATTGTATAGCAAATAAGAACACAGGTTATGCTTAAAACTAGAACAATTGAAAGCCCTTAAAGGAACTTCACTGAGAATTTGACTGGAAATAATATTTCAAGATTAATGTTTCATTTGATGCAGGTCTAGATAAATAACTTGAGTGCAAAATTTCAGATATTTCCTCACACTGTTTTTCCAAAATAACTCTTCTAATTGTGACAATTAATCCAAAATTGAAAAGCGTTGCAACACTTTTCACTGACATCTGGCTTAAATAGCACACAAATTCGAGTTTCAATTTATTACTTAGTATATTCCTTAATAATTTAATTACATTTTGTGAATGTAGGACAAAACCCCACACCTCAAAATTTTATAGAGTGGACAAAACCCCACACCTAAAGTTTACAGAGGGGTCAAAACCCCACACCTCCAGTTTGACTGGTTGGGTTTTGTCCGTCTTCCACATTTTACCTATCTTTCTGTATTAAATGCCCCTTTTGATAAATATAAGAAATTCAAATTTATATTTTTAGGCTTTTGGACCTCAGTGGAGTCCCTTTAAGAATATATTATGCAAAAGTTTGAAATTTCACAATATCAATAATTGCTACAGTTCTTATGTTTTACGTAACACACATAGTATAAATGTCATGTTTAAAACTCTATACACTACCGGTAAAAACAGTATGAATGTAATGCCATTAAAAAAAACCTGGCAGTTTTTTTATAAGAAAGGACCATCTTAAAGCACCATGCCTCCAGATTTATGCAAATTTTCATAAACATTTCGAAAATGCATTTTAAAAGTACAATATTGTGAAAGGAACAAAGTTGGTAATTTGCACATTGCCAACAACCCCTTCAATCCGAGTAATTTACCTAAAAGAGGTCATTATATGCACAAATAGCCTGTACTGCATTAGTCACGCAGAAGAAATACTGAGATAAGTACTGCAAATTCAGTCATTAATCGTACAAACATGTAAATTAATACTTGAATCTTGAATCTCTAATTTAAAATCTAAGTACATTTTTCTCTAAAATTTTGATTTTTCTGGGAATATTTTGCCATATCTGGAGGCATGCAGCTTTAATTGGTCGTATATAAGGGAATTCAGAAATCCCAGTAATGAATTGTGCATTCTCTTATTCATATTAGAAGTATTCGGTGACAATTTCCTGGATTTCAATAAATTTGTGCAATAAGAGTATTTTAAGCAAATAAAAAAAATAGTACATTTAAATCTTAAATAAAGAGGAATTAAGCATGATAAAATAATGAACAAGAGTTACATCCCTTAACTTTTTTCATAATCATCTGATAAAAAAACATCACCCCTCCCCCCCCCCCCCCCCCCACCAAAAAAAATAAAGAAAATAAAAAGCAAAATTGTCACACATTGAAAGTATACAGCTCGAATTTTTCTATAACGTGGGAAATAATAATAGCTTATGTATATACATAATAGATTTGGTAAATATCAGATTTGATAGGTAGACCTTTCATTTTTCAAGTTGCATTTATTTATAGATTTATCAAATAACTGTGATCACATGACATATAAACATAACAAACTCAACATCATTAGATCATTAGAGATTTTTTCTTAATCTATATAGAAATGTATATTAGCAACATTTTTTGAAGAAAATAAAATACACACAATTTAATCAGGAATATAATATAAAAATATATCTAATTATATAAAACTTATTTGCGATGTTGTATGTATAGTTTAAGTGCAAATTGGATACACTCACGCACACTGAGGGCCCAATAAAAATTATTCTATACAGTTTCCTAATGAAGCACCTAAAAACAATTCAAAGCCCTGGAAATGTATATCTGTAATAATTATAAAGCTCTCAGTATTAATTGTGATAAGCCCTGGATAATGCATATTTCAATGAACATGATAATGAAGCATACAGAACTGCAGTAAGCTCTGGAAATGCATATCTTTACTAATCATAAAGCTCCCAGTATTGTGATAAGCCCTGGAAAATGCATATCTAAATGTAGGCTGATAATGAAGCATACAGAATTGCAGTAAGCCCTGGAAATGAATAATCCAATATCTACATGTCTATGTGTTTGTATAGAATTAAAATAAGGCAATCATATACAGCCTTGGTAATGTACAATTTATTTTGCATAGTCATGATATGTGAAATAAGATCATCAACAATCCAAGCAACATCGATCAATCCTGTCAGCTGTTGTAAGACTTTGGTAAAACTATCAAATTGTCTGCATCTGAAATACAAAACATAATATTTATCAGGTGACTGAAATACAAAGCAAAAGAATGTCAGATATACTATACACTTAGTCTCAATATTTCTACCTGCAAGACCAACTGATTTTACAAACTGATATTACATAGATGTCAGTCTTTTTGAAGGGCGACCATCGTTTTATATAATACAAAAACCTGGCACACTGTTTGTGCTAGCAACAAACTCATCTCTCTCTTCAATGGTAAAACTTGGAGGTGTTAACTGGTAAAACGTAGAATTGTTAAATGGTAAAACTTTGAGGTGTTCACTGGTTAAACCTAAAGGTGTTCAATGGTAAAACCTTGAGATGTTAAATGATAAAACCTAAAGTTGTTTAATGGTAAAACCTAGAGGTATTCAATGGTAAAACCTAGATGTATTCAACGGTAAAACTTAGAGGTGTTAAATGCTAAAATGCAATAATTCATTATTATTTTATAAATAATGATAATAATGAATAGTTGAGCTTATAAAAAATAAAATGAAATACCAATTCAGTTAATGACATGTTTAAGTAATGTAGAACCCTGCTATTGCATTACCTCCACTTTGAAGAGTATTTAAACAGACAGTCAACTTGCTGAATTAGTGTAATTCCTGCCCCACTATGACTTTACAAATTGACCTTTTTTCAAATTTCTCTTTTTATGAAAACACAAAAATTGAGCTGCCACCATTATAGAATGAAGTCGGACAACATGGTACTGCAGACTGGTTGGGCCATGAACTGGTCACATACACCTCTGCCTTACAGGGACTAGCACTCCAGTGTGAGAAATAATTTTATACAATTTAAATGTATCAAGATTTCCATTTTTCTTTCAAAATGTCACAGTTCAGAACTATTCACTATTTAGGGGAGAGGATGTGTAAGCGGTCTTATAGCTTAGTCGATATAGAAGTGGAACAGTATTCCGAAGGTCCTGGTTCGAGTCCTGGTCAGACTGCACATTTTTCTCACCCTGTGACAAAAAGATATAAAAGCAAAACTAGAACTCCGCGAGTCGGATGTGTCGCCTTGTGAACAATGTAGTTTAGGGGAAATGGCCAGGACCAAAAATGAAATATGAAAAATAACAAAGGGCAATAACTAAAAAAATAATACGTGCAGAGCAGCATTTCTGTACACTGCACTTCTTATCAATAAGATCTATCATTCTATGATGTTTCAAGTCCATAGCTTTCATACTTGAGGAGAAATGACCAGGACAAAAATAAAGTAAGAAAATCAACAAAGGGCAATTACTCAAAAATAAGAAATGCAGAGTATCAGTTCTTATGCACTGCACTTCTTTTTAATGAGATCTATCATCCTATGAAGTTTCAAGTCCATAGCTTTTATACTTAAGGAGAAATGGCCCGTACAAAATTAAAAAAAATGAAAATAAACAAAGGGCAATAACTCAAAAAATAAGAAATGCAGAGTACCAGTTCTTGTGCACTGCACTTCTTCTTAATGAGACCTATCATCCTATGAAGTTTCAAGTCCATAACTTTTATACTTTCGGAGAAATGGCCAGGACAAAAATTAAGTATGAAAATTAACAAAGGGCCATAACTCAAAAATTAAGAAATGCAAAGTACCGATTCTTGTGCACTGCACTTCTTAATAATAATATCTATCATCCTATGAAGTTTCAAGTCCAAAGCTTTTATACTTAAGGTGAAATGGCCCGGACAAAATTAAAAAATGAAAATAAACAAAGGGCAATAACTCAAAAAATAAGAAATGCAGAGTACCAGTTCTTGTGCACTGGACTTCTTCTTAATGAGACCTATCATCCTATGAAGTTTCAAGTCCATGGCTTTTATACATTAGGAGAAATGGCCCGGACAAAAATAAAGTATGAAAATTTAACAAAGGGCAATAACTCAAAAATTAGGAAGTGCAGAGTACTGGTTCTTGTGCACTGCATTTCTTCTAAATGAGATCTATCATCCTATGAAGTTTCATGTCTATAGCTTTTTTAGTTGAAGAGAAATGGCCCGGACAAAATTAAAGTATGAAAATTAACAAAGGGCAATAACTCAAAAAATAAGAACTGCAGAGTACCGGTCCTTGTGCACTGCACTTCGGGTTATTGAAAGAAGCATGCATACCAAGTTTGAAGTCAATCAGACTTATAGTGACTGAGTTATGCTCCGGACAAGCTTTAGCGGACGCCGACGCCGACACAGACGCCGCCGCCGCCGACACCGCCGACAAAAGTAACCCCTATATGTCACCTTTTCAAGGCGACACAAAAAACATTATCACCATTTTCATATAAAATATTTCCCAGCACCAATCCAAAAAATGTGGAATGTTCTTTATCATTTACATCCTGTGGTATATATTCCCTGAAAATGTAAAAACAGAAAATATTCTATGAAAAATACAATCCCTGTTTATTAAATTCTAAAATATGTTTTTTGAAAAATATTTAATGATATTATTTAAAGGTGACATTTTTATTTCAACTCTCATGAACATCCTGTGTAAAATAACTTACAAAACAAATCAAGCTACATTTCACCATAACAACCAATTATTACTCAAATTCAATGACAATTTAGTTCAAGACCAGGAAAGAATAAGGGATGTCATTTAAAAATTTAATTCTATTTTTAGCTTTAGCATTTATCTTGCAAAGCTGATGAGTACAAAATTGCTATTTTCATTCAGTGCCAACAAAAAAATTTTCCTCTAAGTATCACCAAAATCAACTTTTTAACTGTAAGTATCACCAAAATCTGCACAGAGGACAGTCATTTATTTAAAGTTTATTTCTATTTTCAGCATCAGCAACCATCTTGTTCAGCAGAGTAGAATGTGAAGTGCTATATTTGTAAACGACCACTCTAGAATTATTCCCCTTGAGTTTCATCAAAACTACTCAGCAGTTAACAAAACAAGATGGGTTTTTTTTAAGCTAAGCAGACTGCCACAATTTTACCTATATTTGTAATGCCTTTTATGCCTTTTCCCAGTGTCACCATGGGTCAAATTACCAGACCTATTCCCAATGGCAAATATGCTTATTTCCCCAATTGAACTGAAATTCTCAATAACAAAACTGACAAAGTTGCTGGAGTTCATTCCACTATGGTATCAGACAGATGTTTCCAAACCTTTTATTGTCAAATTGTGACGTATATTTTCATGTTTTTGAATGATATTTGCATTGGTTGGAATAAACAATTTTGCATAATTCAAAATACTATGCCAAAAGAGCACTAAGGAGTTTTCAAAAGGTACCAAATATTTTTCCCAATTAAGCAATTTTACGATGCAAATTTCCCAAACTGGGCATAATACTTTTTCCTTAAAAGACTAGGAAAAAGTCTGTTTGTAGAGGACTTCAACAAACGATTCCTATCGAAATTTATCAAATTCTGCTCATTCAGGAGAAAATATAACTTATAAGGTTTTCCTTTTCTTGGCTCTAGAAGTCATCTTATTGGCAGATTGAAACAATTGTAGCTATCCTTCTAAAGGAGCACTAAATGACCATATTGCTTAGTGGTAAAGGAAATGTTGTTTCAGATAGACAAAGGGTTTATCAATTTACACAAAAAGCGGGATGGAATGTGTCTAGGCTGTTGATTTAGGCTACCCAAAGCCCTGAATAACTGCCACTGAGTAAAGTTTACAGGGGGCTGTCAGATTTATTCTTGGTACATGTACTTAAAAATTAATAACTTTTTTATTTCATTGCCTAAATAACCTTCTTATCTCAAACTGTGTCAATTTTCTTTTCAATAAAAAAATTGTAATTAATTAGATTTACAAACAAACATTTAATTGACATTAAGGTAGTCTTACTGTACTGTTTTCCCGCCAAAAAATTTCTAACATCGGCTAATATCGTAATAAATCAGTCATTTGCAGACTGTTATTTTTCACGGGAATGTAATTCCTCAGTATTCAATAATTTTTAACCGTATATAACCGGAACTTAGTACATAGTGATAAAGGATGAGTAATTGTAAATAATCTAATGCCCAAGATTTTGAAAAAATATCATTCAGGAAATAACAGATTTGCTATGATATTGTCCGATGTTAGAATTTCTGGGCGGGAAAGCACTACAGTCAGACTACCTGGTACTTTAAAGATCTTGTATGTTGTAAATGAAGTTGTATACAACAGTTAAATGAAATTACATATATGTATATGTATGCTTATAAAACAATTTTCAAACATCGAAGGATATGTAAAATATAAACTGAAAATATTTTATTTTGTACATATATTTAATCATTAAAATATATGTATTCATTTCTTATTGAAAAATTTGACATAGTCTTTATAGAAAATCAATTTCATTACCTCCCTTTATTTACATGAAATGTTAAATTCGGTAATATCTGTCTAAATAATGCTTTTTTGAAACTTACAAAATTGATAAATCTTAATTTGAGGATCATTGTCATGATATAAAACCATAAAAAATTGTGTTACAGGATCTTTAATTAATACATGTACAATCTACACATCATTTATCAACAATATTATTAAGTACATTTTCATTATTCCCTACCGGTTATAAAACACTTACCAGCCAATATGTTGCCTACATCCAGGGCACGCCAAGATGATCCAGTTAAATCCTGGCCACCAGGTGTCACCTCCAGTCTCCTATAATACAAGCATATCTGGATATAATCTGGAAATTACTGTTTATATATTGCTGTACATTATCTGGAAATTACTGTTCATATACATGTAATCTTAAAATTATTGTTTATGCTATTGTTCAATATGATCTTGAAATCACAGTTTATGCTTATGTGAGTCATGATTGGGAAATCTCAATTCATGCTAATGTTGGATACATTGTAATCTGTATACATGTATTACTGTTTATGTTTGATACATATAATCTGGAAATCTTTGTTTTACTTTATGCTTATGTTAGATATAATCTATCACTGTTCACAATAATGTTGGATATAATCTTGAAATTACTATTTATGCTTATGTTTGATATAAGTTGGAAATAACTATTTCTGCTAATGTTGTATATAATCTGAAAATTATTATTTCTGCTAATGATGTATATAATCTGAAAATTATCATTTATGCTAATGTTGTATATAATCTGAAAATTATCATTTATGCTAATGTTGTATATAATCTGAAAATTATCATTTATGCTAATGATGTATATAATCTGAAAATTATCATTTATGCTAATGTTGTATATATTCTGAAAATTATCATTTATGCTAATGTTGTATATAATCTGAAAATTATCATTTATGCTAAAATTATTATTTATGCTTATGATGTATATAATCTGAAAATTATTATTTATGCTTATGATGTATATAATCTGAAAATTATTATTTATGCTAATGATGTATATTTCTTATTATTTATGCTAATGATGTATATAATCTGAAAATTACTATTTATGCTAATGTTGTATATAATCTGAAAATTACTATTTATGCCAATGTTGTATATAATCTGAAAAATTACTATTTATGCCAATGTTGTATATAATCTGAAAAATTACTATTTATGCCAATGTTGTATATAATCTGAAAATTACTATTTATGCCAATGTTGTATATAATCTGAAAATTACTATTTATGCCAATGTTGTATATAATCTGAAAATTACTATTTATGCCAATGTTGTATATAATCTGAAAATTACTATTTATGCCAATGTTGTATATAATCTGAAAATTACGATTTATGCCAATGATGTATATAATCTGAAAATTATCATTTATGCCAATGTTGTATATAATCTGAAAATTACTATTTATGCCAATGTTGTATATAATCTGAAAATTACTATTTATGCCAATGATGTATATAATCTCAAAATTATTATTTATGCCAATGATGTATATAATCTGAAAATTACTATTTATGCCAATGTTGTATATAATCTGAAAATTACTATTTATGCTAATGTTGTATATAATCAGAAAATTACTATTTATGCTAATGTTGTATATAATCTGAAAATTACTATTTATGCTAATGTTGTATATAATCTGAAAATTACTATTTATGCCAATATTGTATATAATCTGAAAATTACTATTTATGCTAATGTTGTATATAATCTGAAAAAATGTTGTATATAATCTGAAAATTATTATTTACGCTAATGTTGGAAATAATCTGGATACAACTGTTTAAGCTTATGTTGGTTAAAGTCATAAATATAACATTAATTCCAGAAAAAGTTTATTAGTCCTGTGTCAGTCAAGAGAGAATGATATTATGGAGGGAATCATGTCAATATATATGGACAACTTACTTGGCTGGCTCGCATTACGTTAGCTTTTGTAGATGTTACCACTTCATACTGTGCACCTGAAATACACCATGGAAATCAGTAAAGATATGCCATATTTACAGTTTACAACAAATGACTGTATAATGGAAAAATAGTAAATGTGATAAACTGATGATGATTTTTACAATAAGCCAAAGAGTTCATATTGACAATAAGTCATAGGTTAAAAACAGAGCCGGTGCATGAAATACCAAAT